AGGAATGACATTTTAGTTTCAAATAAATTATACCTCTATAAACCAGCTTTTGAGATCACCTAAAAATATGACTGAAGCAAGAAGTGTGGTTTTCTGGTGTTGCAGGTTCCAATGAACAGGGTCTCAAGATTAATACTCGTAACTTTATGGAAGTCATCCAAAATAATGTCTTCTAAATCAGAGAATCATAAGAGTGGTTTGGGTTGGAAGAGACCTTTAAAAATAATCTGGTTCCAGCCCTGCTACCATGGGCAGGGACATGACCAAGTTGCTCTAAGCCCCATCCAACTTGGCCTTCAACAATTCCAGTGATGGGGCAACCACACCTTCTCTGAGCAACTTGTTGCACTGTCTCACCACCCTCATCATAAAAAAAATGTCCTCTTTATATTCAATCTAAACTTATTCTTTAGTTTAAAGCCATTGTTCCTCGTCCTAGCAGTAGAAGCCTTAGTAAAAAACAAACAAAACCAAACTATAGTCATTTTCACACTAGAATAGGAAAAGAACTTCTATTCTTTCCACATTAAATTATTACAGAATTGCCCCAAATATTTCAGATTGCAGGTTTTGCAGACTGCAAAAGCATTGCATTGGAGCCCTGACTGAAGCAAACACTATAAAAATAAACCAAACATCCAACCTTTTCTACTTTAACACTGACTAGGATGCTCAGGCTACAGTTTCACAGGGAATCAAGACAATGCAACAGCTTCCTGCCACAGGTCTCCTTTCCAGTGGCAACACCACCTCAACACCAGAGCTAACACGTTTCCACAAACATTCAGCTGGGCAACCAGGTAAAAACTGATCAAAGTTGGTGGGGTTTTTTGCTAAGCTAGTTTTCTTTCAGGTTAACCATGCGCCTTGGCTCACCCACAGTACTGTGAAGTACTCACACTGATGTCAGGTTGAGTTTACAGGAGTGTCAATGGCTCAGTCTTCAACAGTGGTGTTAGCACTGACTGCTGGAAACACAACTCAGGAATGGACTTCAGATAATTTCTTTTGGTAGCAAAGCTAAATTAAAATGTCTCACCCCCCTTTCCATATGTTCATATGCCTGGCAGTGAAACACATTAGTCCACTAATGCAGTAACTGAGTAGCTCAAGATGAAATGGGAGGCTTGTGTGGCCTCTGCTGCCTGAAGAAACATACACCAGGTTTCATCTGGGTCTGTACAAAAAGTCTTCTGAGCAAGGTCAACATTGGATGCTTCAGAGGCATCCGCAAGAAACTCCAAAAAAACACACCAAAAAGCATTGCCTCTTTTGCTGGGAAGATCTCATTTTGAACACTAGTAATTGATGGTGCAATATCTGGGCATGAAATCCAATGCTGACAGATGTAGGCAACCAACTACCAGTATCATTGCTTATCCACACACCAATTCTTCTCCCATTTATGGAGCTCACTGACACTTCATACACCTATTTCCTCTTCTTTAGCTTCAAATCTGACACCCTTCAGTGCCCCAGAATCCTCCTTTGACTGTCAGCCTTATAAAACACACACTTCAGCAGGGTCTCGTTTACTACCAAGGTAAATTGCCTATTCTTCCAGGCCCTCTAAACACCCTCTAAGCTTTTATCTAATTTTTCAACTTTACAATACCCCTTTTGTGATGAGATGTCCAATTTTGCAGGATTCTCTCCCTTAAGACATAATACTGATCTCTATCTCATTTTCTCTATTCTCTGGTGTTGCTTTTTTAAGCTAAGATTTGCCTTTCTGCCTGAAATGCACAGAGTGATTTAAAGTCGTGCAGTAGGAAAGAATTTAGAAACTCCATACATTTCTTTTTTTTATATATATATTTGAACTTTCATGCTATCTTGACCCTTTATTTTCTTATTTCCAGCTCTAACCTACCTAAGCAGAAATTTCCAGATAGAAATTTCCTAGTTTTAACTATTTCCCTTATGGATGTTCTTGCACATCTAGCTTTCTAGCACAGGTTGATCTGTTACCCCTATGAAAACGACCATTTTTAAATAAAAAATAACACAAAGGAACATACTTAAAGCGTCCTTTATTGCAATGATTATTGCAACTTAGCAGTTATTTTAAAAAATCCACACAACATGCACCACAGCTGCAGACTAAAAGTCTGGGAGGCTGAAACTAACTTCTTCCTTCTAGCCATTGTTTTGCCTTGTCAGGGATTTGCCAGAAGGATCAATAAGAATTTCACTAAATTATTCCAGTAGTGGCCCCATATTTTTCAAAGGTTGAGCAGAGAGAATGTGACACAAGTAGGACAGAACTTCATTCAGCTTAATACTTCAACTGACTGGGATGAGTACTCATAGGAGAATATTTCAGCCCCTTGAATTTATGCAAAAGCAAAACTCTGCTCCAAGCCTGGAGGAGGAACTGCAAATTTTAAGACCTGGTTAGGTTGAATTTTAAGCAACCTGCATAAATGTAAGGAAAAAACAATAAATAAATACCCTACTGGGTCAGATACTACTCAAGGAAAGCATATGAACTGCTGGAGAGCAGTGTAGGTGAAAGAGACCTGGGGGTCCTGGTGGGCAGGAGGATGACCATGAGCCAGCAATGTGCCCTTGTGGCCAAGAAGGCCAATGGCATCCTGGGGTGCATTAGAAAGGGTGTGGTTAGTAGGTCAAGAGAGGTTCTCCTCCCCCTCTATTCTGCATTGGTGAGGCCACATCTGGAGTATTGTGTCCAGTTCTGGGCCCCTCAGTTCAAGAAGGACAGGGAACTGCTTGAAAGAGTCCAGCGCAGAGCTACGAAGATGATTAGGGGAGTGGAACATCTCCCTGATGAGGAAAGGCTGAGGGAGCTGGGTCTCTTTAGCTTGGAGAAAAGGAGACTGAGGGGTGACCTCATCAATGTTTACAAATATGTAAGGGGTGAGTGTCAGGGGGACGGAGTTAGGCTTTTCTCGGTGATGACCAGTGACAGGACAAGGGGTAATGGGTGTAAATTGGAGCATAGGAAGTTCAAGGTGAATATCCAAAAAAATTTTTTTACTGTGAGAGTGACAGAGCACTGGAACAGACTGCCCAGGGAGGTTGTGGAGTCTCCCTCACTGGAGACATTCAAAACCCACCTGGATGAGTTCCTGTGTGATGTACTCTAGGTGACCCTGCTCTGGCAGGGGGGTTGGACTAGATGATCTCTCGAGGTCCCTTCCAGCCCCTAAGATTCTATGATTCTATGAACCTGGGTGGTTTATGTTGCCCATTCTCCTTCTAATTGCTTAGCATCTGAAACTATTGCAGCAGGAAATCAAAGGCTACATTCCTACCTGTTCCCTCTAACACCCATTTAAGGACCTGTTGTCCTCAAATTCATTTAACCACTTTTTGAATCTGCCTCCACAATCTCTTGTGGCAGAAAGCACCCACGTTTAACTGCCCAATGTCTAAGTACTTGTAGCACGTTTAATTTTATCTCTTCCTAGCATCAGAAAGTGGCCT